GAGTAACTACATTAGAAATTACACTGGCACTATCCCACAGAAATTTGGCTGGAAAGATCCAAGTCAGTTGATTTGTTTGACAGAGACAGGACAAAAATTCATCAGGAAGAAAATATTCACAAATGACACTCTTTGTATCTCTTTCAACCACAGGGTAATTTAACAACCAAACTAGCAGCAAAGGTTTAAAAAATTATTAAAATAGCTAAAAACCTCCCCTTTATTAAAATTAATCTTATCCTTAATAACCAGCCCAATATTTCCATTTCCATCCATATTTTACTTTCCTGCACATTTCGTTAAGTACTTTACATAATTTTTGATCTGTTGTGAATTTTCAGCAGGCATCCATTTCGTGACTTTGATTTCTTACATCTTGATTGATTTCTAAAAAATATATTTATCATCATATCAGTTTTGACTTCTTAGATGTTAAAATATAAATCTCGGTCTGCAATAAAATAAAAAATCTCTATCGTCATCCAGTTTGCACTTTAATTCTAGTCTCCTTCATTGGAGCAACAGCATCAAGTGCAGCTAAAAAATGATCTTTAAAAAAAGTCCATGCCTTATCAACATCCTTGCTAGTCAAGACGTCCGTCCAGTCCCTCACAGGCAACATATGTTCAAACCCCTGAGTTGTTTAGTATTTGAACCTAATAGAACAGTGATTTAGATATCTTACGGATGGGTTAGGGGCCTCATGCCTCTTGCACTCTGGGATTGGAGTGTACCTCTTATAGTGACATTGTGAGTGAGGTTCAAAAGAGAAGATTTGGTTTCAAGAGTGATGACAAACTATAAACGGAGTGAGTCATCCACCTTGTGGGACCTCCAAACACACAGGCAGACAGACAGACAGACAGAATCAAGCCCAGTACTCTACACTTCAGGATGTCACTGTCTTGGATAACATTAGACACAACACACTGGAAACACTGTGATTGATGATGTCACTGATAGGATTACCTGAACAGGTGAGATGAAGGATATCAGAAGAGGACCGTGACTTTGCACAGTCCCTCAGAGCAAATCTGGACTGAACACAGTCATAGCTGATCATCCAGACAGATCTGTCTGACAATTCTTTTCTCCATTCTACAGAAACAGCAGAGCCACAGTCCAGACTTCTGCAGGTAACAGCTGCTGCTTTCAGGGTCCAGTCAGAGCCAATCACTGGTCTCCAGTCTCCCTGTTTCAGCTCCAGTGTTCCTGCACAGCGACTGTCTCCTCCCACCAACCTGAGACGCTCTGAACCATAAAGAAGAGATGAGTGCATCAGTAAAAATGGGAGATATAAATCGTTGTAGGTGTGTTCGATCAAAACAGATAATTGAACCAATCGTGAGCTGCAGCTTGATCTTCG